AAGACCCAGCTAAAGATATTCTCTATGAAGCACAGTGACATTTCGATGCATGCAATTCCTAAACTGATGTCAACAAAGAAAAGAGCAGTGAGCAAGGCTCAGAGGTGTATGCCTGTCATCCCAGCTAGTCAGGAGGCTGAGGAAGAAATACTGCAATTTTGAGACCAGCCTGGGCAACACAGTGAGATTCAGTCTAAAAAATAAAAAAGGCCTGGAGATATAGCTCAGTGATAGGGAGCCTGCCTTGCATATGCAAGGCCCCAAGTTTAATCCTCAGAGGAGGAAGAGAAGGAGAACGAAAAGAAGGAGAAAAAGGAGGAAGAGGAAGAAGAAGAGAAAGAGGAAGAGGGGAAAGGAAAGGGAAAAAGGAGAAAGAAAAGGAAAAGAACTAGGTAACTAAATTTCATAGCAGCTTTATTCATAATAGTAGAAAACCAGAAGCAAACTCTTAGTTACTTTTCTCTCCTTGCTGAGACAAAATACCTGACACCCATAATTAAGGAAGGAAAGGTTTATTTAGCTCACAGATTGTGGAGGTTTCAGCCCATACTTGGCTGATTCCAAGGCAGGTGGCACACAGCAGAGAGCAATAGTTCATAGCGGTGGAAAACAACAAAAGCAACAAGAGCACAAGGGCAGGGGGCAAGCAGCCTCTTTTCCTCCCTATATTGCACGCCTGGCTATTCGCCCACGCCCACACCATCATCTCAATGCTCTCTTCTTGCACAGGCTCAGGATGTAGCACTGCTGAGTCACTTAGCCAAGCCTCTAGACTCAAGTAGATACTATGTATCAACTATAACACAAAGCAAATCTTCAGCAGGAGGCTAAGCAAATTACAGTATATTCATATTAAATAATATTATTTAAGCAATGGAAAGGACCAGGGCCCCCAGCTGTGCGTCTAGGGTGTCGCCGCTGTAGTCAGTTTGCCGCCATCATATCCTGTTCTCTGTGCCCCTGTAACACATCTCTGTTTGTCACGAATGTGGCTGGCAACACTAGGTGTGAAGATTTATGGTATGAATTTGGCCAATATGGTCCAATAGTTGATGTCTATGTTCCACTTGATTTCTACACAAGAAGTCCAAGAGAATTTGCTTATGTTCAATTTGAGGATGTTTGCTGAAGACGCTTCACATAATTTGGACAGAAAATGGATTTGTGGACATCAGATCAAAATACAGTTTTCAGGGGCTGGGGATTTAGCTCAGCGGCAAAAGCACCTGCCTGGCAAGCGCAAGGTCGTGAGTTCGGTTGCCGGTACCGGAGAAAAACCAAAAAAAAAAAAAAAAAAAAAAAAAAAAAAACAAAATACAGTTTTCACAGGGGGATCAGAAGACACCAAATCAAATGAAAGCCAAGGAAGGAAAGAATGTGTACAGTTCTTCACGTGATGATTATGACAGATACAGACATTCTAGGAGCTGGAGTTATGAAAGGAGGAGATCAAGAAGTTGGTCTTTTGATTACAACTATAGAAGATCTTATAGTCCTAGAAATAGTAGACCAACTGGAAGACCACTACATAGCAGAAGCCATTCCAACAATGATAGATTCAAACACCAAAATGGATCTTTTTCAAGATTTCAATCCAAATCAAGATCACAGTCCAAGCCCCAGCCCAAGAAAGAAATAAAGGCTAAATCACATTCTAAGTCTGCATCTCACACCAAAACTAGAGGCTAAAACAGATTCCAAAACACATTATAATTCTGGCTGAAGATATGAAAAGGAATCAAGAAAAAAAGAACCACTTAGATCCAAATCTCAGTCAAGATCACAGTCTAGGTCTAGGTCAAAATCTAAGTCAAGGTCTTGGACTAGTCCTAAATCCAGTGGCCACTGGTAGTGCAAACCATGATAATTTTTAGGCATGTATCATACATTTATTCATAGTTTGGTATACTTAAATTATCAGGATTACAATGTTGCAATGATGCATAAAAAACCCTTGTTAGTTTTCCCTGTACCAGGTGATGGTTATAACTAAAATGATATGCTGTTGAGAAGACACTCTTTTTTCATTTTTTTATTTTAAAGAGAATTTTAAAAAAAGAACAATAGCAAACTACCAACAGCATAGACAAAAACAAAAACAAAGCAAAAACAGTAGGAATGATTTGTCTACCAGTATGTGGTGTCTCTGTACTTTTTTGTAAAGATTCTCATTTTTTATGCTTGAAGTATTTGGTGAAGAGATGTTGGTTGACCATAATTTGCAACACTGTCTTATTAAAAATAAACTTTCATATCCATATTTCGTAGAACTGTTAACCTAGAAATGTAGCTTGCTAATAAGATAAAATGACACAAAAGTGAAGTTGTAGCCACAGTACAACACCACTGCTCAGAAACATTTAGGTTCAGGGTGGACCATTATGTTCTTCAAGGTGGGTAGGCTCAGATAATAGCTTATTTATGGTGCAGTATGGAGTAGTTCTCTTGTTAACCCCACTGTCTTGGGCAATGATGCTTTTTTTTCTTTATTTCTGAATACTGGGAACATAAACACATCAGAAAAGCTCCACTTAAATTTGAGCAGGTCAATGATGAAAGAAATAGAATAATTTTAAGAAGAATGTTCTTAGTAGTTATTTGGAAATGTAAGGAGCATTGTTGACATTGCTGCTTAGTTATCTTATGCTGATAGAAGCAAGTAAATTGTTTCAGAGTAGTTTTTGCTTGTGTGTGTATATAGGATATGGGAACTGAATTGTGATGCTTACAGCACTGGACATGTGCATTTGTATCAAAATTTGCCTCCTTTATGAGGGAGGCTTGCTGTTCACATCTCAGTCTATTTACTGCCAGGTAAGATGAAATACAGCACTCCCACTCTACTGCCAGGTAAGATTGTATTGAAATACAGCACTCCATTTCGTGGTGCCATGAAATTTTAAATAATTTTGGAAAACAAGATTAGTTTAAGGAAGAGAGCCACATCTCTGAGTTTCTTACTATCACTGTAGTACCTGGCTAAAAATGAGGAATTAATACCTTCAACTATTATAATTTTTTCTAGTATCTCTGAAAGATCATTTTGGAGGAGTAAAAAATGACTTGAAATGTCCCACTCTTATTTCAAAATAAAAGCTAGCATCTTTTAAAACCTCAGAATGCTTGCTTATGGATACAAAAAAGAACTATTGTAGGTAAACAATTCCTTTTAAGAGAATTTATTTTTCAATTTTGGTTTTAGAAATCTAGGCCTTGCCTGTAAAGAACAAAAAGATGGTTTATAAAGTGTTTGTGGGATGTGTTTAAAGGATTGATTCTAGAACCTTTGTATATTTGATAGTATTTCTAATTTTCATTTCTTTACTGTTGCAGTTAATTTTCATGTTCTACTATGCAATCATTTATACGCACATTTAATTTTTCTAGATTTTCCTGGATGTATACTTTAAACAACAAAAAAATCTATTTAAAACTGTAACAGTAGTTTGCAGTTCTAGCAAAGAGGAAAGTTGTGGGGTTAAACTCTGTATTTTCTTTCTTATAGAAGCTTCTAAAAAAATATTTTTATACATTCTTTTAACAAATATTGTGCACAACCTTTAAGACATCGATGTTTGGATCAAAACAAGACCCAGCTTATTTTCTGCTTGCTGTAAATTAAGCAAATATGCTATAATAAAAACAAAATGAAGGGGAAAAAAAGTAACAGGAATGAACCAGTGCGACAATGTCTCAAAAACATTTTGTGAAAGAAGTAAACAGTATCTATACAATTCCATTCACACAGTTTAGAACAATACAAAACATCTATAAAAATTAGAACAGTGGGTACCTGTAGAAGTTAGGAAGGAAACACAAAAGAACTAGAAGTGTTCTATGTCTTGACATGTCTTTGAGTTATACAGGTATACACATGTATAAACTTGATGAAACTGTTCAATGAATGCACAAGCTTTATCATAATTTTCCTAAAAAGCTAAAGTCCTAAATTTGTTCACCCAAACATCATATCAAATACAGAAACCCAAGAAATAGTTCTACTTATTAATTTGTTCAACTGTCTCCTAAACTCCTATTCCTCTATAGCAGAAAAATAAAAAAACTTAGACCAAATTGTTTATCTAATGTGAAATAAGAGAAAATATCTATTATTGTGACAGATGATTTATTATGCATTTACACACAGATAAACAATATGTATCTATGACAGAAGCATAGCAGGGCATGGTGGTGCACGCCTGTAATCCCAGCACTCGAGAGGCTGAAGCAGGAGAATCATTGCAAGTTTGAGGCCAGCTTGGGCTACAGAGTGAGTTCAAGACCAGCCTGAACTACATAGTGAGACCTTGTCTCAAAAAGATGATAGATAGATAGATAGATAGATAGATAGATAGATAGATAGATAGATACATAGTATGAACATGTATACAAGCCATAATGGAAGGACTAATTCATACCTAATATTAGTGAGATGTTACAGTACATCAAATCACCTTGTCACCTGAGACACTCATCACAAACTGGTGTTAATAAGCCCTCAAGCATAGGCTGAACAACACTATAATTTTCAACTTCTTCCTACCCTCAAAAGCACCTAAGAAATACCACACATGACCTCTTGATAATACACTAATATATGACATGCAAACAAAAAAATGTATCAAAAAAACAGAACAGAAGCTGGGTGAGGTGACATACACCTATAATCCCAGCAGTCTGGGAGGCTGAAGCAAGAGGACCACAGGTGGAAGCCCAGCCTAGGCGACTTACTGAGACCCTGCCTCAAAATAAAAAATAAAATGGACTGGAGATATAGCACAATGTGAAGGCCCTGGGTTCAATCCTCAGTACTAAAAAAAGTAAATAAATAAAATAAAAATAATTTCATTTTTTTAACATAACTACTAGAAAGCTTAAAAGTACATTTGTGCCACGCATTAAGTTTCTACTAGACAGCCCTGTTGTAAACCCTCTACATCCAAATGCGGGTTAGCAATACCGTTTTTATACATCAATTTTTCTTTCAGAAACCTCCTGACCTTTTCACTTGATTGTCTTCTTTTCTTCAGTTGAATAAAATCTGTTTCCACCCTTTCAGCCAGCTCTAGTTTCCTCTTGTTTCTTTTAAATGCAGCTAAACTGAATCCTATAAAAGAAACATTAAAAATAACATTTGAGAATTACCAGGGCAAAGGGACAAATCCCGGACAAAATCCCTAAGAATGTTGAACTAAAGGCTTAAAAAACAAAAGGATTTTTAATGTACCCTGATATAGTAGGAGAGGAAGATGAATAACCTAGGGTCAAAAGAATTATGAAAATGACCAAAACCAGAAAGATGAGTGAATCCAGAAGGTAAATGCTACCCAGGGGCTGACTCATGTCACCTCCAGCCCTGGTTTTGTAGATCTCTATACACAGGGGACAAGAATTAAAACTTAGAGAAAATGGAGCATTAAAAGTACACTGGAGATATCTACAAAGAAAGGCAGGAATCCCAAACAATATATGCAGTAAAAGGAAAAACAAGAGAAGCCACCATGAAATACGAAACACAAAAGTTGCATGTCTCGGCCTTGGTTCCAGATGTAAGGGAGAAGAGGTCTCCCTGAGAAATTCGTCATTAAGGAGGGCATGTGATCTGTGTGACCTGAGGGGAAAAGCTGATCTCGGTGTGGCAGTGCTTAAAAGGCCACCACATACAAACACAATACTCCCTGAAAAAACATTAGCAAGTGTTTTTGACTTAGCAAGACCTCACAGAATTCCCATGCTTTGATCAACAATAGTTTAAAAAGTTTACTTCAGCAAACATATGAAAAATAAGCCAACAAGAATAAAAATGTCAGCCAAATATCAGAAAATAGTACCTAACTTGCAAATACCTTAGATACTATGATAACCAGATGTTATAGCTTGTGTCTACATGTCCCCCCAAAGCCCCATGCAGTCACAGATGGGGCTTTTCAGAAGTGGCTGGATCTAGAGTGTATGACACTGGGATTGATTTGAGGTGCAATGTTTGGACTAAGGGTTCTAGAATTAAGAATGTGAGTGCTACCTGTCCTAAGTACCACGGATAAGATAAAAGGGGCAAAAAGAGGCTTGTTGTTTGTCTCTGGCTTGCTTTTGCTGTCTTCCGCCTGCCATGAACTGTTCTTCTCTGCAAGCCTCTCCGCCATCCAAGCGCTGGAGCCAGCTGATTATGGACTGAAACCTCTACAAACTGTGAGATAAATAAACTTTTCTTTCTTTAACTTTGGGTGCCAGGTATTTTGTCCTAGCAATGAGAAAAATCTAAGATATGAGAGAAAAAATATAAGATATGAGAAATAAAAGGAAGATACTGGAAAGTACTGGTAGGGAACAAAAGATTTTGATAAAATGACCAGGCAGGTTTGAAGAGGCAAACAGTCTTCAAATTATGACTACAAAATATTATGCTATATAAAATACTATACTGTTATAACTATGGGATATTACATTTTATATAATTATTATATATTATATAATGTTCTGTAATTATATAAAATATAGATTACCTTCAATAATCATATCTATCAAAAATTTTAAGCTTGATATACACATTTTAATACCCACTAAGAAGAGAAGTTATAAAACAGAATATGACACTCAAAGAGGTTGTTTCCTTATAACAGCAGGCTAAATTGTTTGGAGTAATTCTCCTTCTGAATGTTAAACTGGTGCATAAAATATGAAAAAAACTACCTTTAAAGTACTAAAAACCTTACATAAAATATCCAGCTAAATTCTGGGGCAGGTGGGGCTTAAACCAAGGACTGAAGCTATTGTACTATGAGCATTTGCCAACACTGCCACATTTGTGTCCCATTAAATACCAAGGAGAAGTAAAGCAGAACTAGCTATCCTTATACTAGATAAAAATAGTCTTTTAAGTCAAAATCCATTTTAAAAAAAAGAAAAAGAAAAGAAATAAAGATTGACAGAAAGACATAAGAAAATGAAAAAATACAATGAAAAATGATCAATTCAGCAACAGGACATTACAACTGTAAATTCACAGTCACCCAATACTAGAGCAACTGAATATATAAAGCAAATAATATCTAAAGAGAGAAAATACAATAATAGTTGGGGACTTCAAGACCCCACTTTCAACAATGGACTGATCCTCCACGGAGAAAAATCAACAAAAAAAAAAAATATCACTGGAGTTAACTTACACTATAGACAAAATGAAGCTAAAGGCATCCACAGATCAAAGGCATCTAACAGCTGTTGAACACACACACTTATCAGCACATGGAACATTCTCTAGAGCATACATTGGGCTGGAAAATAACTCTCAAAAATTTTAAGAAAACTGAAATTAAAAAAACAGACTAAAGGGCCAGGGATACAGCCCAGCAGCACAAGTGCTTGCCTGGCAAAAGCAAAGTCCTGAGTTCAATTTCTACTACCAAAAAAAAATTTAAAAATAAAAAGTAAAAAAATAAAAAAAATAAAAAAGACAAACATGTCATGTATGTTTCTCATTACAAAAACAAAATTGGAAAGCAAAGCAAAAACAAGAGACACAATGGAATATAAACAAATATATGAAAATTGAACAGCATGAACCTTAACAAATGATCACTAAAGAAATTAAAAGGGAAATAAAAAAAATTTTAATCAAATGAAAATGCTACATATCAAAGCCTACGTCATACTGAAAAAATACTAAGAAGTTTATAGCAATAAATTTGCATATTAAAGATTTTGAATAAACAAAATAATAGTCTACCTCCAAGAGCTAGAAAAGCACAAACAAATCAAACTCAGAATTATTAAAATGAAAAGAATAATAAAGAGCAGAATTAAATGAAACAGAGACTAAAAATAAATCACAAGTGATCAATGAAATGAAAATTTAGTTTTATGAAAAGGTAAATAAAATCAATAACCTTTTAGCTTGACTAACAAAGAAAAAAAAATTTAGTCATTGAGGGAAACATGGCCTATCTATATTATTTCTTGCACCTTAATAAGAATTTAGAATTATCTCAAAACAAAAAATACATACCCTTGCAATGTTTTTCCTAAACAGATCATATGTATGTGCACACACATCAAAAATAAAAAGAAATAAAAGATATCCTGGCTGGAAAAAATAACATAAGACAGTATCAAATATATAACTGAAATCCCAGAAATTGATGATGGACAGCATGGGGCACAGAACACAGTATCTGAAGAAATTTTTCCAAGTTTGATTTTAAAACACTAATTACAGATCCAGAAAACACAACATAAATTATTATCCACTACACCACACCTAGGCACGTCACAGTTCAACTGCTGAAAACCAAAGATTTTGTGTGTGTGTGTGTGTGTGTGTGTGTGTGTGTGTGTGTGTCTGCATCTGTGAGGAGTAGGAGCAGTAGGAGTAGCAGTAATACTAATAGTAGTAGGGAGTGAACCCAAGGCCTCTGTACTGAGAAAAATATTCTTAAAAGCAGTCAGTCATTACATACAGGGAAGCAAAGATAAGGACAAAGGTTGACTTCCGTAAGCAACAGTGGAATCCCAACACCTTAAAAGTGCTAACAGAACATAATGGAATATTACTGAGGCATAAAAAGGAAAAATTTTTGATACGTACTACAACAACATGGATGAACCTTGAAGACATTATGCCAAACAAAATAAGCTAGACACAAAAGGAAAAATATTACATGATTCCAATTATAAGATACCTAGAATAGGCAAATTTATACAGACAGAAAGTGAAATAGAGATCAGCAGGGACGAACAGAGAAGAATAGGTAGTTACTGTTCAAAGTTCTATTTGGGATAATGAAAAAGGTGTGGAAATGGATAGTGGTTATGGCTACACAACACTAAATACGAGGTGAGACTGCAAAATGTGTTGTTTAAATTTTTTTAAATTGCCACAATAACAGATACATTGTCATTCATCTCCCTCAAAATACTCTTTAGTTGTGCTTTCGTGGCTGCCTCAGTGTCACGAATCAATTCACACTGTTTATGCTTCATGGTCATTTCGACTTTGGGTAAGAGATGAAAATTGCACAGTACCAGATAATAAGGTGAATGAGGACACATCAGAATGCCTTCATAAACTGCCTTTCCCTTAGATAGCACTCAGCAGTAGTACTTACTATATTTTTTAATCACACCACATACAGAAACTCAGGAAAGAGGACTCCCAGAACTGCTTCAGAAAGTGGCAAGAATGATGAGATAGGCATGTTCAACCAGAGGGGGAATTAATGGCAATATGTCTTTTATTATAGTATTTATTTTAATTTAGACATTCACTATGTATTTTGATCACATCATGTACTTAGTATGACTCAGTGGTACACTTAAGAATGGTTAAAATTGTAAATCTTTTTCAATATACACTTTATCACAATAAAAAATGTTGAAAAAGTGCTAACAGAAAAATATCTACCATCCTTGACATCTACATAAAAGAAAAACTGTATTTTAAAAGCAAAGGAAAAATGAAAATTTTTCCAAGAATGAAAAGAGAGTTTTTACCAGCACACCCAACACCATCAGAAATGTTAAAATAGGGGCTGGGGATTTAGCTTAGCGGCAAAAGCGCCTGCCTGGCAAGCACAAGGTCGTGAGTTCGGTTCCCGGTACCGGAGAAAAACAAAAACAAAAAAAAACAACAACAAAAAAAAGAAATGTTAAAATAAGTTCCAGGCTGAAAGGAATGGTGTGACTTAGAAATTCAAATCTAACGAATTACTGAATATGTGTGAAAATATTTAACATGTCACTAGTTTATTTAGAACCAATATTATAAGGACTTCTAAAACCTTTTGGAAGATTCAAGAAAGTTAAAAACCTAAAAATTGGGGCTGGGGATTTAGCTCAGTGGCACAGCACCTGCCTGGTAAGTGCAAGGTCGCGAGTTCGATTCCTGATACTGGGAGAAAAACAAAAAAAATTTAAAAACCTAAAACTTATGCCCCTCAAAAAGGTTACCTGGTAATAAAACATATCGTTAATGAATACCAAGACACAATCCAATTTATACTGAAGATAACGTGAGTGGCCAAATACAGGATATTTGTTTTATTTTTAAAACTTGCATAATACCTGCAATTTCTCTTTTCAGATTCACTGAGTCAATGTTATTCCTTTTCCAAAAACTACATTCACGTATCCCTTAAACTTCAGATATTTTACTTATTCAGGGAATGATTCTTGCTGGTTGGTTATTTAAGCTATAAGTAATGGATGGTATATCATGTTCTTCTTGTTATGAACATAAAAGATTAATGTGCAGTCAAAACTTTGTACTCCTACAGTAACAGCCATTTTATAACACCTTTTTATACAAATATGCTTAACAAAAAATTAGCAGACTAAGCTGGGCATGATAGCGCATGTCTATAATCTAGTTTAGCTCTGAAAGTCAGGTTTGGGCTGAAAACAGAAGACCTGGGAGAAACTAACAGTAAGAAACAGCTATTCCCACATCCTCTCCTCATGTTTATAGACGAACACATGAGGTTTACTCTTTAGAGACTATTCCAGATGGGCCTCAAACTAGTTAAGGACATCAGCCACTGCTGGGGCCAGGTAGCAAGTGCTCTACTAAACACAGATGTTTACATAAAAGTCTGAAAAAATAAAGATCAGACCTCCAACCCTTTCCTCCTTCAAACCACCAGCCACTGCCCCACCAGAGCTGGGGAAACAGACAGGTTTTGTTGGATGACACGTAAAAGATTCCCCCAAGAAAAACCCCAGTCACACAACTCACCTGTTCTGGTTTGTGTCTGCACGTTCCCCCCAAATCCTCTTGCAGTCATGGGGCAGGCTTTTAGAGTTTTGATTGACTGGGTGTGAGCATTAGAATAGGCAAATAGTTGAATAGATTCAAGAGAGTTAAAAATCTAAAAATTATGCCCCTCAAAAAGGTTACCAGGTAATAAAGCATATCATTAATGAATACCAAGACACAATCCAATTTTTACTGAAGATAAGGTGAGTGGCCAAATACAGGATATTTGTTTTATTTTTAAAACTTGCATAATACCTGCAATTTCTCTTTTCAGATTCACTGAGTCAATGCTATTCCTTTTCCAAAAACTACATTCATGTATCCCTTAACCTTCAGATATTTTACTTATTCAGGGAATGATTCTTGCTGGTTGGTCATTTAAGCTATAAGTAATATACAGCATATTATGTTCTTCCTGTTATGAACATAAAAGATTAATGTATAGTAATCTGCCCCTATCTGCATAGTATTAAATTCAATACTATTGAATTAAATTATTAAATTACTAGTATTGAATTAAATTAAATTACTAGTATTATTAAATTCAATTACTATCATACATGCCCCTAATGTATCGTATCTGCCCCTATCCCTGGGGCAGACAGTTTGCATATGTAAGGGAAAGGGGCTTGCTCTTCCCGCCTCTGCTCCTCCATGAACATCTGCCCTCTGCCTTGTAGTCAGCCAAGTATGGACTGAAACCTCCACAAACTGTAAACTAAATGAACTTTTCCTTCCTTCATTTTAGATGTCAGGTATTTTGTCTCAGCAAAGACAGAAAAGTAACCAAGAAACTCCGTTGAGGTCAATAAGACCTGCACTCCCACACAAAGCTTGATAACAGCTCTTAAATTCCTCACTCATGAATATAAAAACCCAGGGCCACTAGACAGCTGAAAAACTCTGCAACTTGTATTAGAATCCACAACAAATGAAAAAAAAAGTAAAAGAAAGTAGAATCAGTAGATAAGAACAAACAGCAAGCCATAGTACCCTAAGGTGGATAAGCAAAAATACTGCATTCTTGAAATAAAAACAGAATATTTAAAATATAATGATCAGAGGTGGAGCTCTAGAAATCTAAAATATATAAATGAAAATTATAAATTCATCAAAAATGGATGGTTTTGGAGATAAAATAGAAAAAACTCAGGAAGCAGGGCATAAGATAGAGGGTTTAGAAAGGAAAAAAATATTTGAAAAAGATACAGAAGACTGAACCACAAGAACTAATATTTATTAATAGAACATTTAAAGCAGAAAAAATAATAGAGAAAGAAATCATTCCACAAACTGTTTAATTTCCCTAAAACTAAAGCACATGGATTTCCAAACTGAAAATGCAAAATGAATACTCAGCATTAAGAATGAAAAGAAACAAACCATCCCAACATGTTTCGATGCAATAACCAAAGCATGGAAATTAAGAGCTTCCTTCCAGAGACAAAATATAGCACAAGAACTAGGAGACTTGCATAACAGCAAGTCTAGAAACCAGATGATAAGAGAAAAATTTCTTCTAAAACCTAAGAGAAAATGATTTCCAGTCTCACATGGAAGTAAAACAAGAAAGAAAAGCATGAGATACAGGAACAGAACCTGATACTGGAGAGACCCAAATGGAATCCCAAGGTGAAGCAAGGTGAAGTCCAGAGCTGACTACAGATCTAATAAGACTGGACGTGAAAGTGCCAGGTAGCAGCATCTCCCTGCGAAAAAGTGACAAGTAGGGCTGGGGATTTAGCTCAGCGGCAAAAGCGCCTGCCTGGCAAGCGCAAGGTCGTGAGTTCGGTTCCCGGTACCGGAGAAAAACCAAAAAAAAAAAAAAAAGAAAAAGTGACAAGTGGCAGATGACTGGATTTGCTTACCTGATGTATGAGCTCCAAAGTGACTCCACTGGAGAGATTGTAAGACAAAATGAATGATGGGGACTACGAGCACTAAGAATTCTCCTACTCTTTCACTGGCGCTCACACAGTTCTCTTCCACTTTTTTCAAAACCGTTACTAAATTCAATCACTATCATACATGAGTATTCAGAACAATTTGTAGTTACTTTGTAATGCTTCATTGTAAGAACATATGATAACTTACTTCCTTTGTTGGACATAGGATTTTTTCAAAGATTTTTAAAATTGAAATAATGCTCACTAAGCACCCTTCTACACTAATTTTGGTCTATACATTCCATGACAGCTTCGTAGCTGCAGAATAAGTTTAAGAGTCTTGACTTACACTACCTTAGCAGTCACCCAAAATCTCTTCTGCCAAGTCACATTTATTTGTAACTACAATGTATTACATTCATTTCAAATACACACTTACCAAGAATAACGTATTTTTAAACTTTCACAAATTAACAGGGAACAAACTTCACATGTATTTGTTTTAATTTGAATCTCTCTACAGTTCTGGTATATCATCTACTCATGAGTTTACACTATTCCTCTATTTATATTTCTGTGATTTTGAATTGGGAACCTTTTTCATACAGATACATATCCTTTTTGTCAGATTTGTAAAATTTTTTCAGTTTAATGTGGCACAGATTTCTTTTTCCTTCCCTTGCTCTTGTACCTAAAAAGTCCTTCCGTAGCTCAAGCACAGTTAAATGTTAACCTATGTTCTCTTCCTCTCTCCCTCTCCCTCTCTCTCTCTTGGGTGGTATTATGGTTTTACCAGTAGTAATTTTTTCACGTAACCCAACAATATCCTTTAGCAATAGCTCTGCAAAACCTATGGGGAAGCCTCAGGAATATAAAGACAGCCTAAAAGTCAAATCACTTTTGACATATCTTTTAACTGTACATATTTCAACATACAGTATGAGCATTCTTCCTTGAGTATCTATGCTATACAGGTCATACGAGAGACAACGCAACACTTCCAGGGATGTATGGTCACACAGCTCAGTTTTTAAAGTTTTTACTCACTTGTAGTCATGATGTTAGGAGGGCAAGAGGGAATTCCATGATCTACTGCCCATCTGTAGGCTCCTTCTCCAACTAAAAAGCTAACAACAGAAAAATTCTTTTTAAAATGCATGTCATCTTCTACATATTCAATAATGTAATACAAGTAATATTGCATGGCAACTGAAAAAAAGTCCTGTACACAGGTATAATCTAGATTTAGCTCAAAATAATAAGATGGCTACATGCTCAAAATTTCTTTCAAATTTTTACTCATTTGCAATAACAACTAAAAGCTGGGAAAAATTAACACAGTAAAAATAGTAGACTTCCTGGTGGAAATTACAAAGATTTGTCCTGAGTCTGAATTTGTTTCAGATCCATCTCAAGAGGTTAGGAATCTGAGATTAAGTGAATGTGTTTTGATTTGGTGTTCTCATCCAGTAGAATGCCTGGATCCACTGAAAATGAGTAGGTACATTTAGAGATGCCCAAACACAATGAGATATCTTAAATTTCTAAGTCTCAATGCAACAAAATGCATACATAGCCTTCAGAATCATTTTACTATGACAACTGAAGTACTTTGGCATGTATCAAAAGTAATTTTTAAATTCTAAACTGAAAGTTTTAATATAAGAAAATGAATAGTAGGCTACTGCTAACTTACTATGAAAGACTCATTTTCAAAGATTTCCAATAGCATGCAGGATATTTCCTATCGCCTAAGGAATTTGACTAAGCAGATAGTAGTAGCGACCATAGCCATCGCTTCATCTTCTTCTGTAGCCAACTTCTTAAAGATCTCAGCCAGCTAGAAATGGATTCCTTGAACTTGTGTCTGCTTGTTAAGTTTCTCATTCTGTACTTTGTTTCTATTCTTCTAATCATTCCAACACTAAAAACTCCAAGTAATACATACTTAAGATTTGATTGTTAGTAAGACCGGTACCAGAATGGCAAAACAAAATCTAATCACTCAGAAACATCCAAATGGTTCCCACAAGAAACTGAACGGTTAATCTCAAAAAACTTCTTTTTTTTCTCATTTTACTTTGACAGTACTGAGGATCAAACCCAGGAATACTCTACCACTGAACACTTCAAGTCCTTTTTTCTAAATTTTTAAACAGGGTCTTCTCACTAAAACTGGCCTAACCTGTCCTCTAACTTGGAAGGCTCCTGCCTCATCCTCCTGAGTAGCTAGGACTGACAGGCATGTACCACTGCATCTGGCCTAATAAAAGTGCAGCACTGAAAAAAGAGGAGAAAGGGCCAATAAAAATAATCATCTTTACTTCTTCAAATCTCTATTTAAAAAAAAAATCTAAAGAATTCTGAGAATAAAAATGTTTTCCCAAATGAAGATCACTGCAAAGAAAAGCTCTCATATGAAGTTCAAATGTTAGAATAACAACAGGACCATATATGTACATTTGAGCTTTTCTAGTGACACTGTTAACACTTTCTTCTCCCAGAAGAACTTGATAAAACAAACATCTCAATGTGAAGATGTAAAAGCGAAACTGAAACAGCAATCTAAACGATCAAAACAAGTTCTGAACTGAAGCCAGTATCCTCAGCACTTCACTGATCATTTTGGGTTCAATCCCAGCATCTAAAATAAGTGGCATTTTGCAATACAGCACCAGCTTCATTTTTTAGTCCACCATTCATAGGTTTTATTCTAAACACAATCAATCTGCAATCTACTATGCAAGTTTTTACATACTTTAGGCATATGAAAAATTCATAGGAAGGTAAATACCTGGATGTCATTTTATGGAAAAGCATTCAAAATATGTGACTTTTACTCTCAGAAAATTATTAGCTAGTAGCTCATCATCATACAAAATATCACATAACTGCTTCTGCCCTCATTTTAGCACAAATGTTTGCTAAAAATTATATTAATGTGTAGGGCAAAAAAAATCACTGTCCACAACATTAAATGCAGTGTCAGTTTACATTTTTCTCAAGCTTCTTTCTGACCCTCTAAGGAGGAACCTTTTAAAGAAGGTCATCATGATCCATTAGAAAATCACAGGGACTTCACAGTATGCCTGGAATCTGCCCACTTCTCCCCAGTCCCATGCTATCGCTGTTGTCTGAGCCATCATCAGAAGATATCCGCGTTGCTGCGACAGCCTTACTGCTTGTATGCTTGCCTTGTCCCCTGTCTACCCCTGTTACAGTCAATTCTCAACATACCAGTCATTACAATCTATGTAAAACAAACCCAATAATGTCATTGTCTCTCAAAACCCCACAACACTTCATCTGAGGACTAGTGTAAACTCTGGCATCTTTAGAAGAAATCTGTAAGCTCCCAAGTGAACACATTCTCCCTCTCTCCCTGTCTCACCTCTTATGCAGCTTGTCTCCCTGTATATTCTATTCTAATACTTTGTAAAACCACAAATACTCCAAGGAGCAGCTGCCTCAAGGACTTCACCTTGACTGCTCTCTCGGTCTGGCTCTTTCTCTGCTTCCCAAATGAAAAATTCCCTCATCTGCACAAATTTTCTTCCTCTGTGAGATCTATTAAAAATGCATCCCACCCTGAAATCATCCTTGCACACTGTGTACATGTGTTGAAATATCACTTCACCTCATTATTATGTTACAATTATTGCATATTAATCATGAATGAAAATTTAAAATAAAATAAAAAGTACAAATGCATCCCAAAACACAGCACTTTTTCCTTACCCAACAATTCCAAACTCCTTCACCCTCTTTTTATATTTTTCCACCTTCTAACATTTTATTATAACTTGTAATTTACATATTCTATTTACTGGTTTATTTTTGTCTCCCTGCTACATCTATTAGCTTTATAAGGGTAATCTTTGCTTTCTTCATCAAGGAATCTCAAATTAGAACAATGCTTAAAGCATACTCAAAAATAAACACTGGCAAGATGCTAAACAAAATCAACTCTCCTATCTTTCCTACCAAGGAAAAGACTAGCATTTTCCTTGTGCTATACTCATTTAAATTCATACTAAAGTAGGTCTACAGTATATAAAACAAAGCAGCAGAACTGCTGAGACCAGCACTGAGATGAGGTGACTGAAACTCTCAATAAATTGAGCTACATGTGTTTTCAGAGCAAAACATGTGGAACGGACCACCTGGGCAAAAATGATGGTCTGAACTACAATGTGATGGATTACAAAAGCTCTTAAGGATCCTCAGGGATCAAATATCAAAATACATTATTCTGAGTCGGGCTTGGTAGTGCACACCTATAATCCCAGCACTCAGGAGGCTGAGGCAAGAGGATCACCATTGACTTTGAGGCCAATCTAGGTTACATAGTGAGTGAATTACTGAGTGAGAATCTCAAAAAACCAAAAATAAATTAATTAATAAATTAAATAAAAACATTCTGTGTGAGAAAGATATACAAGAAAATAATAGCAATTTCTTTGAACTTCAACACATTTCCACTTTACCTCTCACTTCTTTGTACCATAAACACATAAAATTGAAGAAGACAGCTTAGGCTCTTGATCATGTAAAGCTTATAAACATAAAAGTACAAATAAAGTAGAACTTCCTGTATTTGGAAATAATATACAATGAAATTAAATAAGAATGTAACTCTTAAATTTTTCATCATAGAGATTTTCAAAAGTATATTAACTGTTATGGTGTGAAGGTCTGTGTACCTCCTCCAAAAATTTCTAGTTTGAATCCCAACAGCAAGGCACAGGGGAGGCATTTGGGTCATGTCCTCCTATGAATGTGGTTCAAGGCCCCAGCAAGGTCCCTTGCCCTATCTGAGTACACAGCAAGAAGACACAACCCTCACCAAACACTAAACTTTCTTACTCACAAATCTGGGACATGTCAGGCTTCCAACATGTGATAAACAACATTTTGCTGTTTATAATTTACCCAACCTATGGTATTTTGTTATAGCAGTCCAACTGTACTATGACAATAATCATACATAAAATAAGACACTAAACCCCACAGATCTTCACTTTGCTTTAACTACTATTGGTACCTTGCTAATCTCACTCACGTATACCCCTTGCAAGATTATTTTGAAACAAATCCCACATATAACTTCAACTATGAATATCCTAGGATACATCTCCAAAAAATGACTTTAAAAAAAAAAAATAACAATAATTAACACATCCAAAATCTGAATGACAAATCCTTGGAATCAAAAAAATATCCAAACTTCACATTTCCCTGATTGCCTTGTAAGAGACTGCTATTATTATTTGGATTCTTTTAAAGTTTTTTTTAGTGTTTGATTGAAGTATAATCCAACTAAGTCCATACTTTATGATTTTTTTTTTTTTTTTTTTTTTTTTTTTTTTTTT